GTAACAAATATTTGTGAAACGTACAATTACCTTTGTTTCTCTCAATTCTGTTTATTCTTAGGCCAAAGAGGATTCCACTCAAACTAAGATTAGTTAACAGGAAAATGAAAGCTCAAACAAGAGTCCTATGTGTTCCCATTCTTATCAGTGGTAGTATACTTTCTGGTTGATATAAGAAGAAGGGCACTTTTATGGTCAATGGAAAGATGTCCTTTGTGCACCGAGACCATATAAATATGAGCATAGCAGCAAGCTTACCATCTGCTTCTGGCATCCTTTAGATGAATCTTATTCAAAAAATAAACTATTTACACCAATATACTGAGAAGAATCTTCTCCAAGAGTAGGAGGTATAAACTGTTTACACCAATATACTGAGATGAATCTTCTCCAAGAGCAGGAGATATAAACTGTTTACACCAATATATTGAGAGGAATCTTCTCCAAGAGCAGGAGATATAAACTGTTTACACCAATATATTGAGGTGAATATTCTCCAAGAGTAGGAGATATAAACTATTTACACCACTAGTGAGATGAATCTTCTCCAAGAGCAGGAGATATAAACTGTTTAAACCAATATATTGAGATGAATCTTCTCCAAGAGCAGGAGATATAAACTGTTTAAACCAATATATTGAGATGAATATTCTCCAAGAGCAGGAGTATAAACTGTTTACACCAATATATTGAGATGAATATTCTCCAAGAGCAGGAGATATAAACTATTTACACCAAAATATTGAGATGAATCTTCTCCAAGAGCAGGAGATATAAACTGTTTACACCAATATATTGAGAGGAATCTTCTCCAAGAGTAGGAGATATCAACTGTTTACACCACTAGTGAGACGAATATTCTACATGAGCAGGAGATATAAACTGTTTAAACCAATATATTGAGAGGAATATTCTACATGAGCAGGAGATATAAACTGTTTAAACCAATATATTGAGAGGAATATTCTACATGAGCAGGAGATATAAACTATTTACACCAATATATTGAGATGAATATTCTCCAAGAGCAGGAGATATAAACTATTTACACCAATATATTGAGAGGAATCTTCTCCAAGAGCAGGGGATATAAACTATTTACACCAATATATTGAGATGAATCTTCTCCAAGAGCAGGAGATATAAACTGTTTACACCAAAATATTGAGAGGAATCTTCTCCAAGAGTAGGAGATATCAACTGTTTACACCAATATATTGAGAGGAATATTCTCCAAGAGCAGGAGATATCAACTGTTTACACCAATATATTGAGATGAATCTTCTCCAAGAGCAGGAGATATAAACTGTTTACACCAATATACTGAGATAAATCTTCTCCAAGAGTAGGAGATACAAACTGTTTACACCAATATACTGAGATAAATCTTCTCCAAGGGCAGGAGATGTAAACTGTTTACACCAATACTTCCTAGCTTTACCAACACTAATTAACTGACTACAATGAAATGCTTACAGAGTACATCATTCTCTAATACCTGTAGCATTTAAAATATATTAGCTAGTTATATCCTAACCAATCATCAACTGCTTACTATAGTTAGCCCAATAAAAACTGAGCCCATGACAAGCAATGAAGAACTGGCGAGATGAATACTGTTTGCAAAAAATACTATTACTGACAAGATGTCAGTCTGTGACCTTAGGGGCTACCTTATTCTGATCAAATGTTATGTTAGAACAAAACCTGTGGGATGGATGGCCATTCTCTGATTAAACAGATCACATCAGTGCTAATCTCTAATTACAGTAGAGAGCTCTCAGTGGTATTCTGGGTAAAATAAAAAGTAAGACTAGAGAAGTACAATGAAACTATTCTTGAATATATCCTACTCAGACTTCATTAATTTTCCTTCTGGAACTGTTGCCTAACCAAGTTAGTGATAGTAGTAAAAAACGTCTACCCTCAACTCTTAACACAAGGAATAAATCACACAAAGATGCTGGAACCCTTGTGAAAAGTGCAACACCAAGGTGACCTCTTGGAATACTAAGGTTGATGCTATGGAGCCATAAAAAATATACTAGGTACTATAGAGGAGCTCACCCATCAGGAGGAGGGAGTAATCAATAAACAAACCTATCATGTGAGGATTACTTCGGAAGACCTATGATGGATTCCTAGAAACGTCCATGCATCAAGGCGGGAAACACCAGGAATCAAACACTTAGAAAGATGTTCCAGTTGTCAAAGTAAATTTACAACTTCAAGCCCATATCAGTAGATATCTCAATATGTAAGGCTGCCCAGGAAGCTAGTAGGTAAAAAGGGGGTGAGAGACTTCACCTTGTTTCTTGGTGCAGTGAAAGTATCAATACACGTGGTATGCATGAGAAACTGACAACGTCTCATCAGTCACCAGAGTTGAAGTTCTGGAAAATACAAAGAGCTTACTTTTATACTATGTTACAGAACTCAAAATTTCCACAATAAAATTCATAGAATACAGAAGATTTTGAGTTGGACCAATGTGTCGGTCAAATATTCTTAATGTAGACACTTTGTGGCAAGTCAAAATTCAACGTACGTTTTATGTTTGTACGAGTTACTTATCAAAGTTGTTGAACAACTTGACATTTTATATATATGTATGTAATGTAAAACCTAAAAGATTATTTTCCAAAAAATATTTTATAAACTTTTGGCACCACTTTAAATAGAAGAGGATTGTTCTGATTGGTTGTTTAAAGTCAGTAGGAATTGTGAAACCCCGGAAACTGTTACTAAGACTTAACAGAAAAGTATAATTATAATAAGAATTTAATTTAAAAAGGAAAATGTAAACTTTAACTAATTTTATTTATTTTTGAGTATTTTTAATATACTTAATTTATACACGGAGTGTATTATATGTTTGTACATTTAGAAAATATATGTATTTAGTTTAGATTATTTATGTTTAGTTAAAAC